GACCGTCAGTAAAGGGGATTTTGGCAGCACAGGACACGCAGCGTTTGAAGAGACCTGTGGAGGCCATAAAAGTCCGACCCCGTGGTAGCAACAAAACAGCAATTACTCACTGTAGAAGAGTCTAAGGCCAGTCCAATCAGTCATAAATCATGAGGTAACAGGATAAATTCACAATAAAATAAGCGTAATCGAGAAACAAGCTAAGCCATGACGTGAGATCCGTCCGATAGAAGGGAGGGAGAAACCCAAACAGTTCGCTCAAGTCCGTCAGTAAAAGAAAGGTTGATGAACAAGCCGAATCGAGGGGGAAATCTGTCCGTAAGGGGGGGAGAGATCAGATCAGTCCAAATCCAGTAAGGAGCAATGCACAGGAATAATCAACAAAGTAATCAGGTCAAAAACACAGAGAAAACAGTCCGAAAAATCAGAATAATAAGAGCTCTAGCAAAGAGGTTCCAGTTGTGACAGAGGCAAAAAGGAATTGAAGTTTGGGCAGGCGGAGCATGCGGGATGAGGGCAACGTACTACTATGTTTCTCTCTTTAAGCTCTAGAATGTTCCGAGGATCCAGCACAAATGCAGTTTAACCCTATTGTGTGGATTCATAGAGGCTACGTAGAAGAAGCGCAAACAGAGAGGGTGGGAGGAGATGGGTGAATCCCGGGCAGGGAGGTGCATACATGCCCCACTCCAGATGGGCTTGCAGGCAAGGAGGAGCTGCTTCAGGTCAGCAGAAACAAACGGAGGGAGGTGGATCGCAGCATGGAGGTACCTCCAGACCCCACTGACCAGCATAGGGTAGGCAGTTTTGCTACCGTGCGGTTTTCTTTGTGTAAAAGACAAGCCTCAATTATTCCTGCAATGATTTTAGGAAAAGAACAGGTTACTTACCTGTAAACATGGTTCTTCAAGTGGATTCTCTATGAATACACACGACCCGCCCAACCTCCCCACGTGTCCGTCACTGCTGGTTGAGTTCCAACTCTCTCTATGTGCGGGCACATGGAACTGGGGATTTTTGGCGGGCTGCACTTGCGCAGTGCAGGGCAACTCAAACTTTGTATCTTTTTCCTCATAGCTCTAGAAAATTCCGAGGGGAACCAGCGCAGGCGCTGTTTAACCCACCAGTGTGTATTCATAGAGAATCCACTTGAAGAACCATGTTTACAGGTAAGTAACCTGTTCTTCTTCAACGTGGTTCTCTATGAATCCACACTGGTGGGTGACTACCAAGCTACTTACAGGATGGTGAGCCGTCACTGCAGCAGTGATGTAAGGACAGCCCTCCCAAATCTGGTCTCATTCTTGGCCCTAAGGTCCAGTCTGTAGTGCTTGATGAAGGTCGACACACTGGACCAGGTAGCTGCTCTACATATGTCGGGGACGTCTACCCCTCTCAGCAGGGCCGTGGATGTGGCAACAGCTCTAGTAGAATGAGCATGCAGGTTTTCAGGGAGAGGTTTATGCTGCAACTCATAGGCCAAAGAGATGGTGGA